TTGAGGGAATGACAGTGCTGCCTTCCTGTGAGGCAGGGAGGAATGTAGATCCGTGTTGCAGTGCAAAGTCCATTCCTATGGAGTGTAACACACCTGCCTAAGGTATTCTGCTTGCAGCTAAACCTGCAGACGCAGCTCCTTTCCTGCCCTCATAGAGCATGTTTGAATAAGGCTAATGCTCCGATAAGAAGACATTTCCTCTTATCCCTGTTTGCTTTCTGTGGGGTATGTGGTGCTGCATTTCCTTTAAAACAGTGTCTCAAAACTCCCTCTTCTTTGGATCACTCTAAGCTCGTTTGTCAGCACTGCTCAGAGACTACTTTGACTCAGAATAAAAGTTTTTCAGATTCCATGTGAAATCTTTATTTCGCTGAGTATTTTACGTATCTGAAGTACATGCCTGGGGAGGAGAGGGAAGGAAAGGGGAAGCTCTCACTTCTGGCATGTGAAAACGTGTGGCTTTGCTGAGGCCAGCATGAGTGCATGAAATCACATTGCAGCTCTGTAACATTTAGAAGTGTCTCGCAGTTTCTGGCTGCCCAGAGCCATGCTTTGTGCCAGCCTGAATATTGCAAAGCTGTCACTTGCAAATCTCCTGATACAGGTAAAGCGATGGGTAAATATTGGCATCACACGTTGTTAACTTCTGTATGGAAGAAAAAAAGAAAAAAGAAAGAAAGAAAAAAACCCTATCTCTGAAGTTTAATTGTGAAACAGCTCGTTTGTTCCTTTTTGTAGTGTTGCATAAGAGAAGCTGAGTGTGGAGGGAAAGCAAGTGCATAAGTCTGTATTTTCCCTTTTGCATTACCTTCAGAAAAAGGACATGGTTTCTATTACATCTCTGGCTGCAACAGATGTAGTAAGATAATTTTTTTTTTTTTTCTGTGTATGACTATAACTTCTTAAAAACTGCCTTCCCAAGTTGATCAAGCAAGTCATGAAAAATGGCCTGTTTATAAAAATGATGATTCTGATTGAGTTAAAGCACTGTAAGGCAGGCAGTGCTGTCCCTAAAGAGACAAAAAGAAAGGCTTTATGGAGAAATATCTTGTTTTCCTAATAGCTTGGTTTGGAAACAAGTTTATAAAACACATTAAAACTCCCCAGGGCCTTCAGCTCTGTAGTGTTTCTAAACAGTCACATTTACCTTGACCTTACAGTTGCAGGATAAAAAGGATTGCCTCCTTGTTTAGTCTCGGGAATACAATACTTACCATTTATGTAGCACTTTAAATCTTAAAAGCTCTAGAACAAGGAACCAAGATTCGCTGCCACCCAAACAGGGCAGTGGATTCAAGCACGTTTAACACCCCTCATAAAATGCCCCTTTCCTGCTTACCTGAAGAGAGAGCCTGCCCTGTGGGATTCTTGCCTGCCAGGGTCAGAAATAGTCAGCAGTGCCTCAGCAGGATGCTGTGAGACTCAGACCGCCTAAGCCAGCCTGGTTCACACAGGTAGGTCACGATGAAGGAACCATTTTGACTGTGTTCAAAATAGTACTAAAAACTGACAAATAGAAATAGGATTTTCCCTTCCTCCCTTCCTCCTTTCCTCCCTTCCTTTCCTCCTCTTTTTCTTTGCCTTTTCCTTCCCTTCTCTTCCATTTACTTATATAACAATGATATTTTGTAATCCTTTTGCACATGTTTAAATCTACTTCTCACCAGCTTTATACTTGGAAGTACTTGGAAAAAATAAGGGAAAAGAGGAGCAGGTAACAGCAATATAACAAAGTAGAGAGACCCTGTCAGGTTCTTATATTATTCTTAATTTCACAGTCTACGTGTCTCTTGCTGTCCTCACCAATGCCTTAGGATTTTTACTTTACTATTTTGACCTAGCAAATTACTAAGAAAATGGCTGAATGTGAGGCTAGAAGGTGAAATTTCTTACTGTTGTGGCATTAAAGACATAGTACTTGTTTTCCTTGGTCTCAGCGCCAAGGCAGAAAGTTTCTTACTGACTTCATGACTTCTAAAGACAAGTAAAATACTGTATTTTCTTAATCAGAAATTCAGTCAATGTCCATTCAATATGTTCATGTTCACTCAGAATATCCTCATCTCATAGGGTCAAAAGTGTGGACATCGAGGTGTTTCTGAGGCTCTCATCTCCTCTTCTATCAGATTGCTACTAGAGAGATGGCTCACCTTCCCACCCTGAAAGGCAGTGTGATGGCAGCATGCTCTCCAGGGCAAGAGAAAACCACTGCCTCATACAGGGAGAACCTATAGTTTCTGAGAGGGCTCCAGGAAGTCTTGGGCAGCTGTAGGGGACAAAGTGTCCCCTACTGCCCAGGCACTCCCGTGGTAAAGATTCAAAACGAAGTCAAAGGAAAATGTGCTTTAAGGACTGTCCAACTTGAGAAAAGTGACAATTAACAGTAATAATATTACTACTGCTACTAATAATAGCACAGGCAGGAAGCATTAGAATCATAGAATATCCCAAGTTGTAAGGCACCTAAGGATCATCAAGTCCAATTCCTGGCTCTGCACAAGACCACCCAAAACTGATATTCTCTGTCTGAGGGCATTGTCCAGATGCTCCTTGAATTACGGCACTCAGGGCCGTGCCCACTGCCCTGGGCAGCCGTTCCATGTCCACTGCCATCTTGTGAAGAATCTTTCCCTGATATCCAACCAAACCTGTCCACGTTAATATGGACTGTAAGATATGTCTATCATTCCAAAGTCCAGGTGACTAGACTGTGTATTTCATTTTCACTCCTATATATATAGGAGTGAATACAATTATAAATTGTATAATTTTAGCCATTATTTTAGATTTATAACAGCTTACAATGCCGGCCTCTCAAATCACAATGGGAATCTCTCAGATGTTCACTTAATCTGGATACTAACCTTCAATTATAATGCATTGTTATTGTTTTACCCACCTAAACCATTACACAGGATTTTTTTTAAACAAAACCTACAGTTGGAATAAAAAAAGCTTTTTTTCGTATTGGCCTAATTTTCCAGATGTAAGATGCCACTTCCAAAAAGCAATGAGTATAAAAATAAAAAATTATCAGGACATTTTGTGCATTATGTAGCACTAAACTCAGAAGAAGCAGCATCAACTATAGATTTAAAAACTCAGTAGATCCCTGGGAGCCGCTATGTCATCTTAGAAATGCAATTAGGGTTCAAAGCAAATTTTAAAATCAATGTCCTTATGACTCATCAGCAGCAACCTGTCCCACAGAAGGGAAAGCTGGCAAAGAAGTTGACTAATGGATGTCTCTCTTGTAAGGCTGACAGGGCAAATAACTTCACAGCACATTCCAAAGTGCTGAATGGCCGAGTGAGAGGGGAGAGTGGTCTCCTTTACTATCCTTTTGTGCTTGAAATTGATAGGGATCCAAACCCCTCTGTAATTTCCCTGGGAACCAATCCTGAAAAACGTAGAACTCATCAGTAAAATATTTGACTTGCTGAATGATCTCAATCATGTTTTCCATAGCCACCAGAATAAAGATATTGTGGCAACCCTTCCAGATAAAATCAGATGGTAAAGAGCTGTGCCACAGACCTAACATGTGAGTTCAGCACGCTTTTGCCAACAGGCAAAGGCCAGACTGTAAGTACTGTGAAAACTTCCAGACTCCATCTATAAACCTAACTGTGTAAGCTAGGCAGTAGCATAGCTTACTCTTTCGAGGAATTCCTGTAGACCTATTGAGCTTGGACACTCTTCTACAGACCTAGAGGAAGCTCTCAGAACTATGGTTTGATTCACAGGTGGTCCTGTGCGGAGCCAGCAGTTGGACAGGATGATCCTTGTGGGTCCTTTCCAACTCAGGATATTCCAGGATTCCATTAAAGTTATAGCCTGGCTTTTTCCATGCATAGCATGTGCTCATTAGCCAACCTTTCTGTGATAATTTTTTTCCACAGCTGTGTCCTTTACATTATAACAGGCCTCTGTAACTTTTAACTCTTTTTTCATTGAATGATTTTGGTTGTGTGTGTGTCATCCTGAAAGGATGGGATGCAGACATTCGGTGGACACAGTCAGATCATGTGCTTAAGTGGAGCACAACATCTCAAAGAAGTCAAAAGCAACCTGAATCCTCTGCATCCATAGTCAGAAAGTGGGATCATATTTTTCTTACACCACACAGAAAAAAAACCGTCACACGACAAGGACCAATGAGGGCTCTCCTTCACTGTATAAGAAGTCTTTGATCCTGGCTGGATGCTCCCCCTGACAGTGGCATCTCTTTTTGCTGCAGTAAGTGTGAGCTAATCCCAATAACTTCATATAGCACTTATGTCAAGAAGGAATCCCCAAAGAGGGTAAATTGGAAAAGAAAATGGTCTCGTGCTCTTGACATGCTTTATCTAGAGGTATCTCATATGGAGAGGTTAAGCTGGAAAGGCTTATTATGGCTATAAAATCTAGCAAGGCTCCATGGGCAGATGTCATTGTCATTATTCAAAAATATAGCATCCCAAATCCATAATCCTTTTGAAATATTGCAAATTCAGTGCTTTTCTGAGCGTAAGACAGAAGCATTAGGGTTGTTGTGTTGAGAGACAGGACAGGAAGCTGGACAGAGGACACCTGTCCCTATCACTCAGGGCCCGGATTAAGCCAGGACATGTTGGCCTAAAGCAAAGCCTGAAGATATCTTTCTGTTTGGGAGCCTGCCTGGCAGCAAATCTCCTGGAACCTCTCAGATTAGTACTTCAAATGTGCAGAATTTCAGCGTGGAGGAAATTTGCAACACCCTGGTTCTGAGGCTGGGCCCCAAAGAGGGGAGAAGCACCACCATCCCCTTCAGAGCTCCAGAGATCCAGATGAGGAAGCAAGTGCTGAGCAGTGCCCCAGGAGGACAAAATCCCTCCTCTCAGTTTAGGCTACCACCATAATCAGAAGTGACCTCTCCCCTGTGATGATGGGTGCTGCCTGAGGATAGAGATGAGCCAAAAGATTTCTTAACAAGACCACAGCTGGGTTTGTTTTTACCATCAGTAACCTTTATTGCCCATGTTTCCTTCCTGGCAAGTATGTGACAGCATGAGGTAAGAGCACGAGAAGCAAGCTGAACCTCTGACATGCATGTAGGGACATAGGAATTGCTTAGGAAGCAATTGAAGTTGCATAGGAAGTAACTTCAGGAATACAGTGCAGCATTTCTTATTTATTCACTGTGTATGTGCTGTCGAGGCATCATGCTGGTCTCTGCTTCTTGTTAGCTCTTCAGTGGCACACCAGGTCCCAGCTGGCAGTGGCTAATTGCAATCAGCAGGTGAGAAAGGCAGCATCTTGGCAGCTGAATTGGCTCCAGCTCTGGGACACCTCCTGGAAAATAGAGGGAACCTGGAAAAAGAAAGGGAGAGAACTTAAACCTGGACTTCTGTGAAAAGCGTTAACTGAGAAAGACAGCAACGCACAGGACAAACCACACTTGTTTTTACTGGTAGTTATAATGGAGCAATTCAGTATTAAGAGACAGGAATCTTTGAGCACTCACCTCTAGTGGTTTTTGAGACACAACCTAATATCACTTGATCACTTTGGAGCGTGGCTTTTTTGTAAGATTTTGAGCATCCTTTGTGAGCTCAAAGGTCAATGAGGGCATAAAAAATGTCTTGCAGTTCAAATACGGCCAGAGCCTTGATGTCTGAAAGGTGCCCACTGGCATCAGTGATCCACTTGTGGTCTCAAGTAAGGGGCAGATTTCCACTTCACTGTGGGTATTACTGGGACCTGGGATGCCAAAATCAGCTTGTGGCATGTGTGTGCTCTATGTCCTGTAGCAGTGACTACTTCCAGGTGATCTTGTTTGGTTAAGGAGATCTCTACCACCTCATGAATCAGAACCCATAGCAGAGGAAATGGTGATTAAATCCGTGAGGAGAATTGGCTGCTTTCTTGCCTTGAGAAGTAGATCCTTGAGGGTCAAGGTTGAGGCACAAAAGCTGAGAAACTTGCCAGACAGCAATGTCAGCTTCTTTGTTGATAAATCTGAGATGACTTCCATTTCCATGACTAGCAATATAGTATCTTGACAGGTGCTCAGTTATCACAGCAGTAGGTACGCTATAAGACACAGAAAGCAATGGATGACGGATATATGTTTCACCAGCTCTGCATTTTAGAAGGGTATTGTGAACTCAGGATTCCTCTGTGTGGGCCATTCCTTGCTTGTTTAATCAATGAGAACAAAGATTTCATTTCCACAAAAGGACAACACACTCTCTCCCAACAGAAACCTCACTTAACCTCACATATAGGGATAGCCAGTATACAGGATACGCAGTATTTGCATATCTGCTGAGCAGTTACACATCAGTGAAGTTGTGTAGCTGCTGAAATGAAAAGACACCGAGTAGCCTGGGAAAAATGAGAGAGATACCTGGATTCTTCTAATGCAAGCAGCAGGTCTGTGTGTACTTGTTTGCAATTTTGCCAGTGTTATGAGATCATCAAGGGCAAATTCAACTAGATACAGATCAGTTCATGGGGAGAAAAAACAATTAGTGCTTTATTATCATCCCGTTCATATGCAATTAAAATGGAGTCGATTCTCCTTCAGATAAAGATGCATAAATAACCAGAGACCATTGATTTGGGTGCTGAAGTAGACAAAGGTATGCAGAAAGTCACAAAAGATCACCTGTCAGTTCAGTCACTCAGACTGAGATGCTGCAGGATGAGTTGGCTGGGGCAAGAAGAATGCAATGGGAAACAGCAAGCCAAATGGTAAGATAAGATGTATTCAGCATTTTTTGGTTGTTGTTTCCAGCCTCCATTTTAACTGCTCTGAGTTTACAGATTGATTACAATACATTTCTTCCAAAGAAACATCTGTTTTGTGGGTAACTTTAATCACGTCCTGGTGAATTCCCACGGGAGCTCATCTGTGTTGCCAAGTAATTTTCAGTGAGAGCAAAGATGGTCATGGGACTGTAGCTAGGAGTGCACAAGCGGAAACGATTGTCACAGTCCATTCTGTGCAAATTCAGTGCAACTCTGTTCCTTGCATGGGTAGCTCAGAATAAAGGAAAAGGGTCAAGAACACAGATCACTTTGTCATGAGAATATAGCTAGTACCAGTATATGTGCAATTGCTGACCATCAGCACCATCATGCAATAGTATTGCTGACCACCAGCTGATGTGAAATGGCACAGCACATTTGGTGCCCACTGACTGCACCCCAGCATACAACCCATTAAGCAGCTCGCTGAAGCACTAAGTTCAGATACGCTGGTTTGAGGCAGCTTCTGCTGTTGAAATTGCTGGCAAGTGGCCGGAACCTGGCATTTCTTGGGTCAAACTACATATTGGCCACTTAGCTGATGTCAATTGTCCCAGCAACCACGCACTGCAAAAACAGGCTTCTGCCTGTCTGGGGTAAACAGCGCTAGTGACACTCCTTAAAAATCAAACAACCTGTCTGGTGAAAGCTTTTAGAGCCTTTCACAAGCTGCAAAAGAGCACATAAGTGATCAAAGGCGGTAGGGTGGGTGCGTTATTGTTCTCATTAGAGCATCATCTGCCAATTTATTGCAGCAAGGAGCCAGAAACAGCACAGTCTTCTGTCTGGGAAATAAAACCAAAACAGTGCTATTACCACTTCAGGTACTGAGAGGCTAAGTATTGGGGTGCTGTGGATGTAGCTCTCACTGGAGCCTGGCTGATAGGAGCAAAGGGAGGAGGAGGAGACTGCTGTTGTGGGGAATGCCTGCAGAAGCACAGAACACTGCTGCAGCCACCAGCTCGGCAACCAGATTGTCTGACCATGGAAAAGACATCAGCTCCTCAGGATTTCACTATAGTGTAGAAATGCAGATTCTTGATGGACTTAATTTTTGTGCCTAAAAAGAAATGCATCACTGTCTTAGACACATGCTTCCAGTCACACGTTTATTTGATAAAGAGATTGATTTTTTTTCGCCTCTTCACTTACTTATGGCCTAGATCCTGTCATCTTTGAAAGAAGCAGTTTCTGTAGAAGAGGGTCAAGCATCTCAGCAGCTCTTGAATTAGGAGAAACTCATACTTTCTGTCCATCCACAATCAGCCACCTGACTCCTGTCCTTCTAATGGAAGACTAACAGTTTTGCTGGTGGAAGACATTCTAATGCAGACAATACCATTTATTACTTGAGGGGTAGGGGCCTGTGAGCCATTCATTTTCAACACAATATGTGGCCTAACCACCAGTTCATCCCACGACTTCCAGAAGCCAGCACTTTGGCAGACCCTATGCAATGACAACTGGTGATCCTAATTTTGTTCCTTAACAGACAAGCAGAACAGGCCAGGGAGCACAGGTCACAGCACTGTGAGCAGCTCTGTGTGCCCTCTCCCTCCCTGCTGGCATCAGCTTGTTGTGGGAGCAGTTGCAAATGTAATAATGGAGCCCTGAGATGCTCCGAAGAGCTGTGCATGCTGCACTTGAGGGAGGCTCTTTGGGGGTTGAACTCAATGATATCCAGAAATCCCTTCCAACCCCTATGATTCTATGACTCTTCCCACCCAGGGAGGGGTGGGGAGGCCGTGGCATTTATATGAACAGAAGCAGCTATTCCGCTTCTAAAACAAACCTATTCCACTCCTAAAGCATGAAGTTTGGAAATTTATTACATAAATCAATAAATAAGATAAATACATAAATAAATAGTGTTCACCCTTCTCTGAGATGGACCTGAGATGTTTCAAGATGGACACCTCTCACCTCTTTGCTTTCTCGGCTGGTTTATGTAAAAAGGATGGGCTTGCTGTTCAAGGGGCAGAGTCATTCTGCAGTGTAACACTGCCAAATCAGCTAGAGTCCTCTGGGGAGAGTGAAAGCACTGCCACTCTGGTGTGTGGATCTGATCTTTTATGAAAGCACACACAAATCAGGTAATTACATAATATTCAGATAGCTAGCACTTTCTTTGTATTTAAGTGACTCAGACAAGATCAAGCAGTAAAAGCAGAACATCCTGCTTAAAGCATCTTAGGGATGCAAAGCAATGCCCAAACAAGAAAGCTTAGTTTTCAGCCATATGCTTGAGCCCTGAGCCAAATGAGAAGTACAGATGAGGAGTGCATGGGCTACTCCAGCATCCAGGCCTCCCAGGGCAAAGGAAAGCTAGAAATCTTTGCTTGTGTTTCAAGAGACACATCTATGCTGGAACGTGAACGCAGTGTTTAATAAGCTTACACAAAGTTGTCTTTTATTTCTTGTTCTTTAAGAAGAAGGAAGCTTTTTTTATGTCTAACAATGGCTATAGCCAAGCTGTACAGCTCATGAGGGAACAAGTGAGATGCTATATTATTTCAGCAGAGTAGACATCGCTAATTACCTTCTTGCCTTGTAGAATGTCAATTTAGCAGAAAAAAATAGATCAAGCTATTCTTAAGTACAGTGATTAAAGTGATCAAAGGCTCATAACAGCATGGAGTGCAGCAAGGTTGTAGCTGTGCTCTAAAGCCTACATTTCATGATGGAAGATAACACAAGTCAAGGTGAAATGTAAACATGAACATTTTGCAAATACTCACACTCAGTTCCAAAAATCATCCAAAATGTGGACTTTTGAATTTAATAACAGATTCAAATCTCAAAGCTTTGGGTTTTTTGTTTGTTTGTTTGTTTGTTTGTTTGTCTGTTTTTCCCAAAGAAGAGCATAGCTTGTAGTGGGAGATATTCTTTCTTCTGACCTTTGATCGTCATTTTGCCATCATTCCACAGACATTAATATTCACAAATATAAGGAAATCTTGCATGCTTTAAAAGACCTGGAACAACTTCTCTGTCAGCATTCAAACCAGACTTCAGATTTTCCTGAAGCTTATGCAGCCATCCACCTATCTAACTGGGATAGAAGGATGGATCCTACTGCTTCACTATTTTTAACATTTGTCTTCACCATATTACTATGTGGACTGAATACTAAGTACCTCATGCAGAAATGAGAAATAAACCCACAGGAAAGTCAAAGCCTGGACTCTTCAGAACTTTCTTCTTCTGTACATGCAATACAGGAGGGTGATCTATTCAGGCTCCTAGCTCTCTTCACTGGCCCTCAAAGCAACCCATCTTCCCAATTAAGACAGTGCTTCTCTCATAGGAATTCCACAGAGACATCAAGAATTGGGTGGAATAAACCCAGATAAAAGTGACTTGTCCAATGTCACGTGGGGAGCCCATGGTAGGATCAAGAGGTACCCTGTTTCCTTGGCTCCTAAGTTATTCCATTATGTTCAGATTATTTTGTTGGTTTGACTCCTTCCTGAACAAACTGGCAGATGAGTTTCTTTTCGAAATTTATGAAAGATCTGCAGGGAATAAACAGATGAAAATCATGAGGAATGACAGCA